GCCCGCAGGGCCCCATCGATGACAAGCTGGACCCCAAGCACTACCCGTACATCTCCACCCGCTCCTCCGCCTCCTTCAGCACCACTGCCGTCAGGTGGGTCCCCCGCGCCCCCCTCCCTCCCCCTACACATTGGCACGTGTATCACCGTTAGCATCCATCCCTCACCTGCCTGGAGGGGCCGTATCCTTCAGCAGGTCTGTGAGCTGCTCTGCCGTCATTCAGGCGTTCCGTGCCTCAGTTTCCCTACCTGTAACAGCGAGCAGCGCTCGTGGCTGGAAAGCTGGACTTTACCTGCTCTAGCAGCAACCTGGAAGCTAATTAATCTGATTTAAGTTAAGATGTGAACTCAATGCACAGTCTGTTGCCTCCTGCCCATCCTTCATCCCTCTCCTCTTCCACTCTAGTGCCCGCTATGGCCACTGGCACAAGAACAAGGCCCCTGGCGAGTACCGCAGCGGCCCCCGCCTCATCATCTTCATCCTGGGCGGCGTCAGCATGAACGAGATGCGCTGCGCCTACGAGGTGACGCAAGCCAGCGGCAAGTGGGAAGTGCTAATAGGTGAGTGGGAACCGGTGGCCGGGCCCTGCGCCCCGTCGCGCTGGCTGCTCATCCCACGCTCCCTCTTGCCATCCCGCAAATTCCCGGCTCCAGATGATTGCGGGAGCTGGAACTCTGCGGAAAGGTCTTCTCCCGCCGCCCGGTGTCACCCCTGTGTCCCCCCTCTGCCGGGACAGGATACGTCCCTCCACCCATCCCTGTCTTTGCTGCCATTTTTCCTCTCCCTGGCTGGTTTTGTTTCAAGCAGAGCTGGGTGAAAGGGAAAGGGGTTTTGCAGCTTGAATTGCTCCTGTTGCACCTGTGTTGCACGCTCGTCCTCGGGGTCGTTACAGGGAGAAAAAAGGAAATAAAGAGGCGTGCCACGCAGCACGCCAACCACGGCGTGCACTGTGCATGCAACAGGAGATGCATTTTCCTGTTGCGCACACGCTGCGCGTCCTGTTGCACACGCATTGCGTGTGCAACAGGACGCGCAGCGTGTGCGCAACAGGACATGCATTGCGCGCTCAGTCTCAGCACCCCGGCTGTGCTCCCGAAGGAGCCGTGGGTCAGGCCTGGAGGACATGGTGGAAGCCCTGCCAGATGTTAGCAAGGAGCTTTTAGGTCCCCTAAAATTCCCCCCGGGGAAGCACGGCTGGATCCCCGGACGTGTTCCCCCCCCACACCCCAGCGGATCCACCACCACTGCCCAGCTCCATCCCGCCTCTCGCCCATCTCATCCCGTGTCTCTCCGGGGACCATCCCCTGCATGCGCCTACGATGCTCCGGGTGGCAACCGCGTCCTTCCTCACCCCGAAAAATGGTGGTGGGGGAGGGGGGTCTTGGCGCAGCCGTCAGCCCCGCTCTGTTCTCCCGCAGGTTCTACTCACATTCTCACTCCCACCAAATTTCTCATGGACCTGAGGCACCCCGACTTCAGGGACTCTACTAGGGTATCATTTGAGGATCAGGCTCCAGCAATGGAGTGAGCCAAAGAAACCAAGTAAAGGCAGCTTACTAATGAAAAAAGAAACTCTTCCTCCCCGAAGGGTTTTCTTTGATTCTTCCGTTCCTCCTTTCTTTAATTATTATTTTGGGTTTCGTTTCCGTTTGGTTCTCCGATAAGAAAATGCTTGCAGTTCCTCCTACCCAGGTGGAAAAGCATCCAGTGCCGCTCCATCATCCTTCTGCCATGTCTCTCGGCCGGACCTGGCCGGCTCCTTCATGCCATGAGTTCCCCCTCGCAGGGGCCGGAGGGGCCGGGGGCGGCGG